ACACACTCCTAAACCAAATTTCTATATACTGAGTCAAGAATTGGCTTTTCAAAATATAGAAACCATCTCTAATTCGGAATATAATTCTAACCAACTATAAGAAATCTACCAACTACACTATAATATCTCAACTTCATCACTTATACAAAAATAATATCTTTATTAATAACACTTATTTAAATTAATTAACAATTTACAAACACACTAGTCAACTGAACAACATTTATAATTTCATTGCAACTTCTAATAACTCAACAACTCTAAGTCTTAAAAACAATAGAATTCTTTTCTTAGAACAATTACTTACAGCCAATAATTAAACCTTTTTTCTTGGAAAAATATATATCTCAGAATCCAAAATGATTTAAAATACCTTCAAACCAAATATTTGATTATCCTATTTTGCATAGATGGTCTAATCTTTAACTCCAATCTACTAACCTATTTCTAAATACATTAAATCTTATTACACTTCAATTTGTTATCTCAAAAAATACATAGTCACTTTATATTTTATTTTTAGATTGGCATATTGGCAAAATAACTAATACATCTAACTCTCAAGTACTCTTTCAAAAATATCAAATTACGAATTCAACACTAAGACAATCCACATTTCTCTTATACAACAATGCTTCAAATAAATTACAAACAAACTATTAATTTTAAATACAAAATACAAAAAAGAAAACAAAACTTTAACCTTAATATAAATAACTAAGAAATCAAAGCATTTCAAAACATTCATGCAAACCTATATAAACTAGCTCCAAAATCTCTATTATCTCTTTCATTACCTCTTCAGAAATCCTTCTAATACAAAACACAATACCTGATCCTATATACCAAAACCAATTCATAAACTTTCACAAAAAATTACTATCTCTTGAATCAACTAATATATATTTTTATACAGATGCTTTTATACTTAATTTACAAATACACAACACCTCTACTGGCATAGCCTAGATTCTGGAAAATAATATACAAATTAAATTTAATGTCTCTATAAATCTCATACCAAACTCAATACAAACAGAACTAGCAGCACTTATACTCTTATTTCTTATTTTATTTTTTAACTACTCAATTCATATCTATTTAGACAGCTTATCTACTATACAACTCTTACCAATTCAATATCTTATAACTACAATTCTCAAACCAAACAAATTAACTGAGATATTATCCATATTCTAAACTATTTAACCAAACTTAAAAATATAAATTATATTATGCACAAAGTTAAATCACATTCAAACAACACTTTACATAATATTGCTAATAGTTTAGCTAAACAAGATGCTAAAAAAACAGAACTAAAATATAACCTTGACCATCTTTATTTACCTATCTTCTTTACTTGAAAAGAAATATCAATTGCATACAAACTTCATAAATTCCACAAAAACCTTTTTTTTATTCAAATATTTAACAAACTTCTTTAACTTAAACTATTACGAAATCTTTCTATTATAAACATTCTACTATTTACTGAAATTATTAACTTTCAAAATTCTAATTTGAAACTTTATTTAATTAGAAACAAAATTCTCCTAAATAACTTGCCAACAATGTTAAATTTAAATATTCACTATTCTCTACTTTATTTTATTTTAAATTGTTTCTATTATAACTAATATAAAAATACTGAATATTTATTCTAATGCTTACTTCATACTTACAATTCACAAAACATTCTTATCAATAAACTACCAATATTTTAAGCTCTTTAAACTTTTCAAAAACTTTATTACACACTATAATTTAAATTCTTAACTTACAAAATCTCTCTTTAAACTCTACTACATATAATACAATACTTCTACTTATTCAAGACACAATAATACTCAACTAATATAAACAACTTTAACTAATTCTAAAAAACTAACTAACAACTTTCTTATCTTCTTATCTAACTCTTTACTCAACTGGTTCAACCTAACTATCTGGCAAACTCATAATACCAAACAACATAAATAGAAATTAGCATAAGGAATTACTGCTCTTATTAAAAAAAAAACAATGTTCGATTACCTATTATACAAGTTTTTAACTCTAATAACAATATATTTGCATTTAACACTGATATTGATCAATTTATTTTTAAAACTCTTTTTCAAAATTTTACTATATATATCTGCTTTTATTAATTAAAATAATCTTAAGGATTCCTTTTACTTTTTTCTGTAGTTAATAATTATGATAGTTAATTTAATTAAAACAGAAAATTAAAGGTTAATATCATGCTAGATGTCATTATATATATAGCAACAATAGTGTAGTTTAGAAATATTTATTTATATATTTATATCCAATTAATATATTTATGTATTACTATTTTTTTTACTTAATATTATATAATAAAAAAAATAAAGCTTATTATAACTAAGTTTTTATATCTTATCAAATTTGCAAACACTAAACAAATTACTTTTTTTTTTTAATATTAAGATAAGTACTTGTGACTTAGGATTTTATTGATAGTATATTTGGCTAATAATTACATTACAACTATAGAAGGCAATTATAAAAAGAGTATACAACTAGCTATTTATATAACTTTGGTTATTATCTAATTTAAGTAATCTATCTAAAGGTTTTATATTAGCTGCTATATCTTGCTTGTAGATTCTTTATTTAAACATTCTAGTTCTCATATCTACTGATTTATTTTTGCTTACTAATGACTTCAGATGATGCTAGTAAATATATACTATAGCTACTAGGTTTTTAAAGCAGTTTATTCATATAGAAAAACTTTAATCTTGTATTAAACCTTTCTGAATCTTTTGTATCTCATTCTTACAACTAACTTAGTATTACTATAGCTAAAACCAACACTTGCAATTAGGGCATACTATTAAAGATAGGATTATATAGATCATTTTTATATAGTAATATTTATATTTTTATTTAAATTTGATATATGCTACTAATAAAACTTTTTTATTTTTTTAATTAATTAATAAAAAAATTTTATAATATTATAAATAAAATTATTTAACTATTATAGTAAAATTTTGCAATATTGTATTATTTTAAAAAAATATATTTGTATATATAATAAAGTTTACTTAGATAGGTTAAAATTTACTTAGATAGTACAAGAATAAAGAATTTGATTGGTTAATTTATATAAACCTATTAGTTAATTTTATTCTATAATTTTATATTCTAATCTTTAAAAATTCAAATCTCAATAAGTTTTTAATTTATTTTAATAATTTTACTATTATTAGAATCAGAAAAACCTATTCTACAACATTTACTTAATGATTAAAATTAGTTTACTTAATATAATATTTTATAAAATTAAATATAAAAAAATTTACTATTAGGTTTATATATAATTTTAAAATACTTGCTCTTACCTTTAAACTATTATGCTCTTATAGAATTTATCTCAACTTTGGCACTACCTTTACAATATATCTATACTACTTTGGTATTAAATTTAAGTTCTACCAAGCTGCCAATCCAGATAGTTCAGAAAGGTAGATCATAACCATATATCTCTGATTTACATGTTCTTTGGCATGTATCTTTTTTTTTTAAAATCCAAAAATTCTGGCAATCTGATTGGTTTATCTGGTAACTTTTTAAAGACTAGCACATTTGTCTGGCTTCATAAGTTTTAGCTCTATTTTATAGATTTAGTCTTTACAATAGCATTATTAAAAGTTCAACTACTTCTTTACTCAGATCTTCCAAGTAGGCTTTTGTCTTTCTATTTAGTTCTTGTAATTTACACAGCCTAAGGACTTATTATAGGTTCATACTATCTAGTGCTAATTTGTGTTCCTTTGTACAATGTTGTATAAATGCCTAAACCTTCTAGTCATGTTAGTATAATATAGATTAATTCTAACAAATTAGAGAAGACAGTTAACTGTAATATGAAAAGAATTGCAAATTTTTATTATTACTAGGATTTGAACTTTAGACCTGCCATTTGAAAGTTAACAACCTAACTATTTTATTAGGTCATTACATCTTTTCTAAACAAATTACTAATATATAAGGGAAGGGTGCCTAATTTGATGCAGTGTCCAATTTGACACACTGCCAATATCTCGTGATCTAGTGATCATAATCACATGATTCTGGCACCATTCGACTCATCTCAATAAGACAAGCTGAATGGTATCAGAACCATGTGATTACGATTACTGGGTTACAAGATATTTTCATTTAACTGAAATTCTTCACCCAGGCCCTGAAGAGAGTAAAAGTAACAATTAAATAACTGATTGTAATACCAAATAAATTAGACTTTGCGCATTATAAAGTTATTTATATTAATCATTCCTATGTATATTTGTTAATTTTTGTGCAATTTTGATGAATTCATATTGATAATGCCTAATATAATAACGCATATCTATATTATTGATTCGGGTAGTTATTCAAAACGCTACATATCGTTACTGTTACGATTTCTCTTCATAATTATGCCTTGTAACACAATTTTCTTTAGTATAAATAAAATTATAATTCATAGATACAATTATGATTCGCGTGAAAAAAAAAAATCATGTAGTTTGAACATTATCGCTCCAACATCAATACAGTTACAAAATGAAAAGTAATAATATTTGAAATAGTTTATTCCTCAATTTTACAATAAAACTATGTCAAAATACAGTGATTATACTACCTGACACACTGCCATTAATAATGCCCTTAAGGCTGTTAAAAACCCTCCAACTAATTAAACTCCAAGCACCAGAAGTATTGCATGAGACTATGGTCTTTCAGAAGCTACCCTCAGACATGCAATCAAAAATGATGGTCACCTTAGTTGCCCAGGCTGTGCTAAAATTTTGACAGATCATGAAGAAAGACAGCTCATCAGTTACTGCTTGAATATGCAAAAACTTGGCTTTGGATTAACCAGGTCTGGTGTAAGCCAGTGTGTAATGGATATTGTTAGTCGATGCAGGCAGACCAACCCTTTTAATGAAAATAGACTAGGTTTAAAATGGTGGTGATGCTTCATGAAGGACTATCTGGAACTGTCATTTTGTATGCCACAAGCCCTAAACGAAGCCTGTGCACAAAAAGCAAACCCTATTATTGTTAATGATCACTTTAACAAACTTCAAAAGATAATTCAAGAGTATTCACTTACTCCTGACAAAATTTGGAACATGGTGCATTTTTTTTTTTTTTTATTTTTTTTTTATTTTATTTTTTTTTTTTGAGATTTTTTTTTTTTTTGCTTGATTTTAATTTTTTTTTTAATCATGATTTTTTTTTTTTTTTCAGGATGAAACAGGCTTCATCATCGAACCTCGGCTACAAAAGGTCATAGCTAAAAAGGGTGCCTATCAAGTCTATCAAGTTTCAAATGGCAGTTCTCATGAACATATTTCCGTATGTCCTACCATCTCAGCTGCTGGAACTTACATCCCACCATTGATTATTTATAAGGGAAAGCGAATGATCCCAGGCCTTCTAGACAGTGCTCCTGCTGGTTCTGTCATGGGGTTTACTGAAATGGGTTATATGCGTGAAAGCCTGTTTCGAAAATACATTGAACATTTTAATACTTCTATTCCTCTTGCTCATCCTGTTTTACTTATTATGGATGGCCACAAAAGTCATGTCAATTACACCAGCGTTAACTTTTGTTCTGAAAATAATATTCTTCTTTACACCCTTCCTCCTTATACTACTCACATTTTACAGCCAGCCGAATTACCATTTGCTACATTGAAAGGAATATATACTAAGGAGTGTGATAGGTTTAGAATTAATAACGATGATAAGCATGTGACTAAACACACATTCACTCAGGTTTTAGGACCATCCTATATTGCAACTTACATACCAACCACAATATGCAATGCTTTCAAAATTACGGGAATTTGGCCCTTTAACCCTAGCGCTATTAGCCTTGACCATCTAGATCCCTCATTGGCAACAGAACAAACCTATATTTCAGAAATTCTTGAGCAACCAACTTCCTCGTCTTCACAATCTTCTTTATCTTCACAACCTTCATCTTCATAATTGTCTTCGAAGTTAGTTCAAAGTTATACTCCTTTTGCCAAAACGAATCTTACACAAGAAGAGTTAATGTCAGAGATTATGTTGCTAAATCAGAAAGTTGAACAATTAGAAGAAGAGCTTGAAATCTTTAAAAATCCTGGTACAAGTTCTTTGTAGCAAATACTCAAGTATCCTTTGTACCATAATCTGAAACCAACTGAAGACCCAGAAGCCAATAAAGAACAAGAAAGATCCCAATTGCCAAAACGAAAAAAAAGGAAAACTATGCCCTTTGCCTAGTTAGTCACAAACAAAAGATCATTGCAGCAGTTGAGAAAAGTGGAGAAGGAGGCAGAACAAAAAGCCAATGAGAAAAGACAAAAAAAAGAAATAGCTCTTCAAAAAAAATTAGCTCATGAAGCTGAAAAGGTGCAAAAACAAGAAGCGCAAAGAAAAAAAAAGAGGATACGGAACATGTAAGGGCAGAAAAGCAATGTATTAGGGATATGAAATGTCTTAAAAAGGGGAAAATGTAAAGTCATCTAATTTGTTTACAGTGCATCAAATTAGGTCGATCATCTGATAATCTCGATTTTCAATAGAGTTTACATTTAAGAATAAAGTTTTGTTACTTTATGCTTAAATAACTGGTTTTTTTTGAATAAACATTTATTTTAGATTGATCTGCATTGAATTTAGTAAAAACTTGTTTGTTTTATATTGATTTTACAGAACTTTACTATTGGGCAAAATTAACTGTATCAAATTAGACATCCTTCCCTTATAAATAATAATTTGTTTAGGGAACTATTACTTATTACATAATTATAGCCCCCCCAGATTCAGATATTTGGAACCTCCTAAAAACCTTCTTACAGATGATGTCATAATGGTCCTGTGTGGCACAGTAACCTATGGTCAACAGTTTTTTTTCTTGCAAGATTGTGATATCATAATGGCCCCATATGGCACAGTAACCTATGTTCAACAGTTTTTTTTTCATGCAAGATTATGATGCCATAATGGCCCCATATGGCGCAATAACCTATAGTCAACAGTTTTTTTTTTATGCAAGATTATAATGTCATAATGGCTAGTAATTAACAGTTTTTAACAATCACAAAATATATCATAACAGCATACAATAACTATTTTATTGTACGATGTCTGATATAACAATTAAGAATGTAAATGGTCAGTTATGGTCGGTCATCATCGGTCATGAGTCATGGTCAGGCAATTTAAAATTTTAATATCCAGCATTATTTAGTTAATTTAAGTTAAAGCTTTTTTGATTTAGAGTTTAATCTAATTCAATAATAATAAATTTAGACTTATAGTTAAGAAAAAAAACCTTAAATAAATATAATGAAATCAGTTCCAGGTTTTATTTTCATTCGTAGTGCTGGTCATATTAAATATTGTGACAGTATTTTAGAAAATATACACTCATATGTACAAATACAGATGCAATAGTCAAGTTATCGCACATATATATATAAGTGTGAAAAATGACAAAAAATAGGTAATATGTGATGAACAGAGTCACACAGACCAGAATTGTACAGACATATTAACAATCATTGTCAGAGTTAAATGTTTAATTGTCATGTCACGTGATGTCAGTATTGTGATTTTGTGATAGAACCACCACAATAATTACTAGTATCAAGACTTAAGTTGCAATTTCATTTAAGCCTAAGTTGATTCGAAACTCACCATACCACATACAACATATATGTTGTATGTATGCAAGTTGTATGTAAGGACAGAATTATGGTGGGTTTAGAATTACTTAAAAGCAACTTAAATTTGATACTCATAATGAATATGTAATTTATAAATTTAAAAGCTAAATTCAATACTTGTGTAATCGATTGATATAAATAATAGTTAAGACAAAATTATGTAATTATTAAAAATCAAAGTAGAAGAATTCAATTTCTATCTAAAAATTGTAATAAAAAGAGCATCAGCAATGACATACTATGAACCTAGCTAGCATAATAGACGAACCAAGTATCATCCTAGAAATATAACTCTGAATACTTGGTAATAATATTGCATAATAATTTCGGTCAATACATAGGATAATACTAGAACAGCTGAGTGTATCAACAGTTTTTGTATCAATGCCAGTAAATATAACCAAACCTAAGTACACATTTCTATCAGTATTGGGACATAATTTCAATTTTACAAGCACCTAGTATAATTGAATAATTAGGCTCTAAAATTTCAAGACTTTTACAACCTAAAATAACAAAATATAACTTTTTCATATTTTAATGAAAGTTGAATGTTTAATATGTTTGACAATTTTTTATTAAAAGAAAAAATTGGTTACGTTCTTAGCCCCTCTTGCTCTTTTATTTCACAAGAAATGTTACCAGAGGTAGATTTGACTTTATCATAATAGGGCTTGGAGAAAGGGTATCAAAATATCATCTTTTGAACCAAGTTCAATGCCAACTATGCAATTTTTATTCTTAAAATCATTGTTAGAAATAATCTTAATAACTTTTTTGACAAGATCGTCTTTGTCGAACTTTGCATTTGATGTTTCAAAGTCAAATCTAATTGTAGAGCAGGAATTATATTATGATCATAATTCTAGTTATAGCTTCTTCTACTGCTATGGCCTCTACGATTTTGATGTATAATATGGCTGCCCCTTCTAGGAAATCAGTTATTGTTTAGTGCTAGACAATTATCGCTCGTAACTATATACAGTATTAAAATAAATAACATTAGAATTTCATATTTTATTAAAAATTCTAAAAAGAAAAACTAATTTAAAGACCCAACTCTGCTCAAAAGTTATGGTTAAGCCAGCAAAATTCATGTTGTGAAGTATGCCCATGTATCATATATTAGATCTTGACATGAGACTGATCTTGTACTCAATGTATTTAACAATTCTTATCTTGTCAATGAAAATGTTAAAAAATAGCTTATTATGTCGACTAAGCCTCTAGTTTTAAGCTGAGAAAGTATTGATTTACCTAATTTTGCTATACTATAACACAATACCTATCATCCTAATTTTAAATATAATTTCTGTAAACAGCTATTTTTACTAGGAACAAAGGTAATTATAGCAGATCAGTATAATATAGGTGAGTAAATCTGTTTAGTACAGGCCAATTTTTAGAATCTACTATACAGACCTGTTATAATTCCTAATCCTAATCATAATATATATATATAACATTAGTATATATTCTAAAAATTGGCCTGTACTATATAGATTTGCTCATCTATACTTATACAAAGTATTAAGGTCACAAAAGTTATGTTTTCAGTTTGAATTACATTCATAGACAGAAGTTCGTCTGATTGGCTAATAAATCAATTTAATTTTACATTATTTATACAGAGTACTTTTTAAAAAAGCTAAAACTAATCATAATGAAATAAAAAAAGCTGTATAGGTTTTATTAGAGTTGTAGAACTCTATAATCAAAAAATTGATTTAATTCTCATTAATTTAAAAAAATTAGCTTAGTAATAAGTTGATTTGAGAAGTTATTACTATACTAACTTTTTTAAGTAGACAAGAATTAGATCTTATTTTTGATTATAGAGTTCTACAGCTCTAATAAAACCTTTCATACAGCTTTTTTTATTTTATTATGATTAGTTTTTGTTTTTTAAAAAAGTGCTTTAGACTGTATAAATAATGTAAAATTAAATTAAATTTACTAGCCAATTAGACAAACTTCTGCCTATGAGGATTATATGGAATCTGAAAATTGGGTCGATGGTCAGATATTTATTTTATTGTTATTTTTTTTTTAATCTGCTATAAATCAATAGGCTCATGTTCAAATTTAAGGTCATACCAAATTAATATTTCGTTTTGCATAAGATGGAATAAGAAAATTGGATTGGCAGTATTCTTTTGTTTATGTTGGCCCTATCAGACATCAGATAAAAGATTTCAAAAATCAAATATTATTGCATACTTCATATGCAATAACTGCTATATTTTATGAATGATAATGATTGATTGGTAATCCAGCCAGTATAGCTGAATTCCTGAACAATAAGAAGATAAAATCAGCAGTTAATGCTAATGAAGCATGCAATAAAGGTATTATTTTATGATTTACTATCTCATATTTATGAAATAGTTCAATTATTTTATTATCTAAAAATATCATAAAATAATTGATTTATTTTATAAACTGATCATAGTAAAGCATTAAATAATTAGCACAATTGTGATTTTTTTTAAAAAAAAAATTTTGAAAATTGGGGCAGGTAAAATGAAAAATCAACTTTGTGTAACCTAAAACTAGAGTATGAGTGCCTCTTCACACCAGCAATTCAGGATTATAAAGAATAACAAGAATCTAAAAAACAACAATATAAGAGTTAGAATTAGGCTCGCATAAATTTTTTTATTTTTTAAATTATTTTTATTCATTATTTTTTTTTAATTTTTTTATATTCTTTTTCTATTTAGTTTTTTTTTTTACCTTTTTTTTTGATTCTTTGGAGGATATAGTATATTGATAAGTAATACATTAAATATTTATCATATAAATTAAGGATTTTAAGTGAAAATAAAATTAATAAAAGTGCATTACATAAATAGCTATATTGAATATATTGATTAATAACTTACAAGAAGGTTATTTATAGCAAAAAATGTCATGATCTCATGATCATCACCACTTCTAGCCAGATAATTCAAATTACGCATTATGTTTAATATTAATAGTTCTTTAAATATTAAAAATCTTATATATATTTAAAGAACAATTAGTCTTCTAAGTGGAATGTGTAATTTGAATTGTCTGATTGGAAGTGGTCGATGATCATGGAACTGTAGCATTTTTTTGTCATGAATAACCTATCTATACTTATCGACCAGATAAAGCAAATCAAACAAATCAAAATTTAGGTCTTGAATAGTATAGGCAGCATTTATAATAAGGTATTCTATAGTATTTATAATTTCATGCTTTTAATTAATTACTGACTTCTTTGCACAGTTGAATGCAAATGCATAGGCATTGTAGAATCTTTGGTAGAGTTTTTGGGAATTTGTAAATACAACATTGGTTATATTCTAATGTAGTTGAGACTGCATTTTAAAAAATAAGAAAATCACAAAAAGAGAAAAAAAAGGAAAAAACTAATAAGATGGAAATGAAAGAAAGTATGTTAAAAAAAAGAAAGATTGAAAGAGAAACTAACAAAAAAGAAAAGAGAGAAAAAGAAAACAAGGATCGATTAATTGCTATCCTAGTGATCAAAGATAAATTTAGAAGTGATTGTTAAAATTATTTTTCGTAAACTCATACTGCTATACTAGGAAACTCATACAGGGGATCTCCAAAATTCTGGGTCAAAATACTTCAGAATCATGATCGGTAGGGCCAGAATTAACTAATTTTGCCCAAGATTACTAAAAGTTTTACTAATGAAACCATAGCTTACTCATTAAATAAAGCTGCCCAGCTGATAATTTTGGCCCAGAAATAGTTAACTTGTATTACTAAATGCCAGACTAAATCCAATAGTTTCAACTCAGAATTTTGAGCTATTGAATATTAAGTAAATTAATTCCAAAAATAAATCTATCCCAAATTGAGTAAACATTCAGATATTAAGCAACAGTGTATTTTAATCTGTGCGCATTGTTAGAACAACAAAACCAATGCAGGGATAGATCTGTGATACCCAATTGTATCTATTTTATTAGTAATGCAAACCTCTAAAAAGGAAATTAGTTATAAGACATTATTCATCTAAATGTGAATAGAGCTCAAAAGACTAGTATCCATTGGCTTCATTCAGAGCTTTATTGGATTCATTCGCAGCTCTATTGGGCTCTATTACCAACCCTGCTCCTGTTCGTTAATAAAATCCTCTAAATGCATCAGATGTAGTAATAATATTTTAATTAATCTGCAGCATCTTCTGTTCATTAAATTATTAAAAGCTAGATCAAAAGAAAGATACACTTAGATAATGTTTCTTACAAATGCATAAAACCAGCAGTATTACTATTTCGAATGTAAAATTAGCTGTATAATCAAGTTATTTAATATAGAACTTCTCCTGTTATATTAAATGTAAGTCAGCAGCACTCTTCATGTATAATAAAAGATGTATATATAGTTTCTTTGGATATGTATCAAGTATAATATTGAAGTGTCCTTCACCTGTAACTATAAAAAATATTAAGAATTAAAATTATATTAAAATGATAAAATATATTGTATATAATAAACACAGAACCTGCAAACGCGAGCCTGATATTGTTATAACTATCTCTTAAACTTGAATAAATAAATCACTCATACTTGTAATTAGCAAAGACGCATAGCCAATTGTTAATATATTTTTTTCATTCACTATAAATATGATCAAATTCTACTATAACAAACTATGTACTAAATACTTTACTAATTTCACTCAAGATATTTATTTGATACTTTTATTTCTTACTTGATCTATTATTCCAATAATTAATAGTAACCTTTTTCTTTCTCTTTCTCGCTTTTTGTTTTTCTTATTTTCTACTTATTTTCAGTTTTTTTTTATTTCTGTTTATTATTTTTAACTTCTTTTTCTTTCTTATTTTATTTTTTTATTTTTTTTTTTATTTTGCTTTTTAATTCTTCTTTTCTTTCTTTCTCTCTTTTTCTGCGATTCATGACTTTATCTCTTTTTAAAATGCAAGTCTCAAATACATTAAAATATGACAGATTATATATCTACAAAACTCCAAAAACCCAATACCAAAATTTCTGTAATGCCTTTGCATATAATCATATGATCAGCACTAAAGATTCTAAATATTCGAAAGATTTAGTATGTAAAGAAGCCTGTAATGCATGGAATAAAATTAAAAGAAAGCCAAAACACAAAATTGAAAATACTATAGAACACCTTATTATAAATGCTGCCTCTACTATCCAATATTTAAATCCTGTTCAATATTTCAATACTGCTACTTCAACTCAAGATAGAATAATTAAGAAAATCATTGTTCCTAGTGAACCATCACCAAATGCCATAGCACAAAAGATAGCAAAAGAAATTATTAATAAAATGAATGAAGAAATCGCAAAGTATCAAGAAGATTATAATTCGACAACTGATCCTGAGGCTAAACATGAGCTAATAGATCGTATACAAGACCTTAAACAAGTCCTCTATGCTCAAAAAAAGAAAACCCAAAGCCTAAAAAAAAATGCTGATATCCAATGCAAATATAGAGAAAAAAAAGACCATGATTTAAAAGAGCATTAGCAAGTTGTAAAGTATGACTCGCCTGGGCATTCCCCTCTTTTGCACAAATACCTGGACTTACTAGAACACATTTACAAGAGCATAGAGTTCAGGGCTGCTAATAGCAAAAGGAGAAAAGAAGTTATTAATATTCGAACAATAAATTACATAAAAGAAGAACTAGAGTTGAAATACAATAAATATCTTTCCCAAACTGCTATAAACAATTACCTACTATCATATTATTCAAACTCAATAGAAGCAAAAAATCACTACTATCCAACTAATATTCAGGTTAGTAATATATATTTTTGATATTTATTATTCTTTTCTGGACCACATGCCTATAAATTTTTATACTCTACATATCGATATAATTTAGAAATTATATAATTAAATAATTATAAAATTTTAAATTATAACTTACATATTCATTGTTAATTTCTGTCTGTTAAAAATGCTGGTTCAGGTCACAACTGTCTCAAGAAATGAAAGGGCAGATCATCCAGATGTTTATTATTGTTTTGCTTCTGTAAAGGCAGCAAGACAATTTGCAGCCCTATTTCCAACCTTTTTGGCAATTGTGTCACAAGATGATAAAGCCAAGGTTCTTCTCAGCATTCCTGCAATTGGAAAAAGTTTTAAAGCCATACAAAGTAATAATAAGCCAGTTACTGTTCTGAACCACGACTTTCCTGCTGGTTCACAACAGAAACTTATTCCATCTGTTTATTTAATCATCGATCCAAGTGATACAAATAATACACTTCATAGAGGCCAAATGTCAATATACATCTGTCCACAATATGAAATAGAAACAAGCTCAAAAACTCATATGAATGATCTATATTCTTTAATGAATAATAGCAGTTTCAACAATATGTTAAAGGTTGATAATAAAATCAGACCCATATGGGTTCTTCTTGTAGATGAAAACCCTGATGAAAATTCCCATTACCTAAAAAATATCTCTCACTATTGTGACATCTTTTGCTCTTTTGATCTCAATTATTTGATCATTAGAACTCATGCTCCAGGTTAGTGATCTAAAATCACTAATTAAATTTGCCAAAATTGTAATTTCATCTAAAATAGTAGTTGGTTGAATTGTAATATTAATCAATTAAAAAATTTAACCAATAAATAACAACTAAACATTAGTTTATTCTATTAATTACTCTAGGTTACTCAGCATACAACCTTGTTAAAAGGAGTATAGCATCCCTTTCAACAAAACTAGCAAGTATAGTCCTGCCTGTTAACAAATATGGCACCTATCTTGACTCACAGAGTAAAGTCATAGACCAGAAGCTAGCAAAAAAAAATTTTAAATATGCGAGCAATCTTTTTTGCAACCTGTAGAAGTGGGACAAAATATTTGAAAAGCCAGTCATGGCTAAATACATTGATATGATAAATATTTTGATTTTAGATATTATATCTTGGGAATGGATAGAGATCCATGTAAGGGTCTGCAGATACTCTTTAGATGTAAAGAAATGTAATAATATCAAATGTTGCTTTCCTAAAAGATGTAAAGAGGCTGCTAACCTTCTTGTTTCATATAATGGTTTCTTCTCCTCTTTAGTAATGGGGAAAGATGGTTACTATATTAATTCAATACATCTATTAGAGTATCTTGACAAGGAAAAAATACTAGGGTACGACCAACATTGCCCCTTCATGACTGATAATTATATAAAACACACCTGTCCTATTTGTGGAAAATATTTCCTAACAATCTCGATGGTTACTAATTACAAAAAAAAACCAACATTTGAAAGAAGCCCTTAGACCTGGAAGGCCAAAAAAAGATGAAACAATGGCAAAGAAGCCCGTATAATTAAACATGGACCTAAAAGGCCAAAAAAAGATGAAACAATGGCAAAAGAAATTTTTCCGATTAAATGTAGACCTGAAAGGCCAAAAAATACTGAAACAACAGCAAAAAAGCAAAAAACCAAATAAAATTTTTCATTCGTTATTTGAAAGGAAAACTTGTAATTCTTATTAGATAAAGAATTACAGATTTTTCCTTTACAGTACTCATTTATTTAATAAATTTCTGATATAAATATTTTAAAATAAAGATTAATTTTAATAAAGAATCACAGCAAAACCTTAAAAAAGCTTTTATCGTCTTACTATTATATTCTATCTAAGTTCTTTTATCAAATCTTAACTAAATAGTATACATTCATTAAAGAAGCCTTATTTTAATTTAGTCTTGTGGTTCAGCGATAAGTTAATTTTTCTATTGCAATCTAAAGACTTCAAGATCTATATGTGTGTTATAATTTAAAAATAGTTAACTGTTAAATTTTAATATTGATATCTTTTTTTAACTGCCAAAGTTTTACAATCAGAGGAATGCTATGCGTATATCAGTTTCATGTAACATCACATATAATGAAACTGATGTACAAAAATCATTTCTCTTACAATTTTCATAATCTTATATTTGCTAGCATCGTTTTCTATTATCAACTGTCTGTATACCATATCAATAAATTTGAAATTTTATTACTCTTGAATTCAGTTTTAATAGAAGTGTGAGCCTCTTGGTAAATGCTACAGTATCTGGAGACTAAAAAACTCTATTAAATATAATTCCGTAATGTGATTAGTAATGTTATAGTAATTTTCTGTCCTACCAATTAAATTCATGTATATACCTAAGAACCTGCTAAGCTTTTGCCAAAAGACAAAACTTACAAATAATAAATAGCCTTATAGTGCTTAGTAGACTCTGGTCGGAAATTGATATCAAATGACTACAATTTGATCTTGGCCTCCAAGATCTGCAATTTACATTACAAAAATAATTCTATTCTGATTGGCTTGGATCAATTTAGCATCATTAGTAACAAATAACTGGTCTTTGGCTAATTATGACTTAGTTTCTACCATATTTCTAGGGCTACTATGATATAAACTTAGAAGGAAATTAACTGTTAATTGTGACGAATTAGAATGAAATGCGTATTGTAAAAAAAAATAGACAAGTTATCGAAAAATAAAATTTTTTGGAGTGCATTTTTTAAGGTTAAGTGTTATAATTAGTAGTTAAATTTAGAGTATATTTTATAATAAACAAGTATAACAGGTTTTTAGACAGACCATTATGTTATTCTTGTGAGAAAAATACCTGTCAAAACTGTTAATTATTGCATCGTTATGACATGTCTTATGATTATTAAAAATCATTAATTACTGGCCGTTATGACATCATAATCTTGCATAAAAAAAAAACCGTTGACCATAGGTTACTGTGCCATATAGGGCTGTTATGGCATCATAATCTTGCATGAAAAAAAAACCGTTGAACATAGGTTATTGCACCATATGGGCTGTTATGATATCACAATATTGCAGAAAAAAAAACCATTGACTATAGGTTACTGCACCACACAGGACTGTTATGACATCATCTGTAAGGAGGTTTTTAGGAGATTCCAAATACCCAGATCTGGGGAGGCTATAATTATGTAATAAGTAATAGTTCCCTTATATAAAATTTTATATAATTAGTTAATTATTTTTTGATAATATCTCAGTATTTACTAAACCAATTTAAATGATTTAACTATCATTAGATGCATTTTAATGAGCTTTACAACTTTTAATTAATTGACTTAAACTATTAACTTAATACAAAAAAAAGTTATAAATAAATATATACTGCATTTCTGTTTATAATAAAAAATATAAATTAGTTTATTATATGATAAA